ATTGTTGAGTGGACTACGGTCCCGTGGTTTTTCCTTCTCACATCGAGGAGGTTTTCCACGTAAAAAGTGCTTGTCTCATTTTAGTTATCGCTTATATTATATCCTGCTATCGTCGAAGTATTTTCCTCATATATTCACACAAGGTCAGGGGAACTTGAACACATATTCCGCTGCGCCGTGTCCCGTTTTCCCCAACAAAAACGTCGAAGCCTTTGAGCTGTATCTCGGAGACTTCTCCTTTCTGGTTGAATTTGACGTCAATCCAGTTGCAGGGAGATACTGTCGTGACATAGATGAGAAAGCTTGTGCCGGTGGTGGCTTCAACATCGAGCTTCAGACTCAGGAGAGAACCGTTGAACTCAGGGAGAACAGAGAGGCTATAGAATCTGCAGGCAATTCAAGAAGATCCATCGGCTTGTGCTGCAGATTCAGCTCTTGTCATCGTCTTCTTCCTCTGGCCGTGAGATCATCAACGTCACCAGAGACAACCTCACTTCACTTTCCCAGATCTTCATCGAGCTAGCAACCTCTCTAGAGGCACAAACATCTCTCATGAACTTGGAGTTCGAAGGAATCTCGTGGGAAATCGAGATATTACAGAGCCTTGGTTTGTTCCTCGACAACACTTCAAAGATAAAGCACCTCTCTTTCAGACAGAACAGGTTCAACGAACAATTTCTGAACGAGTTCTCAGAGATTCTGAGAAGAAACAGTTTGTTGAAAGAGGTTATGCTCTTAGAGTCGAGGATTGGAAGTAGAGGAGCTTCCCTTCTCGCCTCGGCTCTCTAAGTTAACGACTCTTTAGAGGAGTTGCAGATTTGGGAAGACTCAATTGGTTCTAAAGGAGCTGAAGAGCTCTCTAAGATGATCGAAACGAACTCAAGTTTGAAACTTTACGACGCCTCTGGTCATGGTGAGCTCGTCGTCGGGCAGAGAAGCTTGGCACGAAGCAAGATCACAAAAAAAAAAAAAAAAAAAAAAACCTTCTAAACTCTGAAGATCGTCCTTGTTGGCCCGCCAGCTATTTGAAACGAAAATGGTGTATTTATCGAATTCATAACAATAAAAGATTCAAGAATCCTTGAGATTTAGGAGAAATCAAGCATATAAATCAAATGAGAAATATAACTTAAACTGATAATATAAATTATATCAGTTCGGTTACAATAAAACTATATCAGTTCGGTTTATATCATGATTTAGCAATTTAAAATTTAATTATAATTATGAAAAGTTTATATTCACGTGCAAATCCCAACTATCTTTAATATTTTCTTTTTTTGTGTCATTTTTTTTTCATTTTTGTTATTGGTCGATATAAATATTCATTTTGAGTTTATTCTCATTTCTTTCTTTTGTTTTAGTCGTAGAATTAGAAAATATTTAAGATTTAAAATTATGATAAATAATATATTTAGGTTAAGATCCGCGCCTTGTTTGGTGTAACTATTTTATATTTATTATTTATTTTATATTTTGTCTGCATATTATGAAATAATAAAATAATAATTATCTAAAAATTAACTAAGAAATCATTTATTATTATGTAATAAATTGACATGCACATATAAATCAAACGACAACTCTTGTTTATTCACAATCTTTAAGGTAAATATCTCAAAACAATCAATTTTATATATCTTATATGAGATATAATTAAATTTAAATCATATTAACATTGATATATAATATACTTTTAATATAGATATTTATTAAATAAGGTTTCTACTAATACGATTTTATGATTATTTTCATATTTATGTAACAAAAGTTTACACCAACGAATTTATTTTAATGTGGAATATTTAGTGATTTCAATAATTTCTAATCATTTAACATTTCAAAATTAAAATATTAAATTTTCAATATAATGAAAATATCAAAATATAAGTATGTATATTCATATGATGTATATTTTAATTTAAACAAAATGAAATATATATATATATATATTAATATAAACACCTATTAAAATAAAATTAGTTATTCATATGATTTTATAATCATTGTATCTTATCATAGAATTTTTTTAACCTTGATCACAAAAGTTTATGTGAAACTTTTAACACTTTAAGTAATTTATATTCGTTTTGAAAAAAAAATCAAAATAAAACATATACAAAAAATATAAACTTTTATTTAATAATTAATGTAATTGTGTAATTTATTTTAATAATAAAGAATAAAAAAAATGATTGAAAGTATAAGATTGTTAACAAATCTTTAATAATTAAATTCATAGATTTCATATATCTTAATCACATTAGTTAATTCCGTAAATTTTATTTAAAAAAGAATATATAATAAATTTCAGTTTGATATATGAATGGTTAATAATAGACATAATATATAATGTAATATTTCCTACCAATTTAATTTTGGACTAAAACAATTTTCAATTGATTTTCAAAACACCTCGTAATCAAAATTAGCATTTCAATTATGTGATAAATCATCAAAAGACACTATTTTAATTAGTACAAATTACAGTTTATAACTTTTAAAATATTTTTCTGTTTATATATAGGGGATATGTATGACAAATGCTATGAGAGCTAAGTCACACTAGGATTGTTTCGCTGAGATGCGAAATATCAACAAACCAAGTAAAACAATGATATCAGGGAAATGTCTTTTTTTTTTTTTAATATATATATATAACGCTGGGTTTGTATTATCAAAATAAAAAATGAACTAGCCGCTCTGCGATGAGATTGGCGACTCTGAAGATCGAAGACGACAAAGCCCCTGCCTTGGGTTGATTCACTCCTTGGTGATCATCAATCTATACGGATCAGCACGATCTTTGTCGGCTGAGTTGTGGAGTTCGGGTTTGGGCGGCGCTGCAACTGTGGGTGGCTCTCCGGTACGGTGGTGTGATCCCGTGATTCTTTGTCTTAACTGGTCTTGATCTTTGTCGAGACCATTGTCAAGAGAATATCACCCTGCAACTTTCCATATGTTTGAACGGCTTGATCTACTTCGGTTTTGACGTGATCCCGTGATCCCGTGTTCGACTTGATACTCTTCGGTAGTGGAGTCATCCCGTGATCCCGTGTTTCACGACGCTGTTATTCTTCTGTGGTTGATACCCTTCGGTATTCAAGTACACACACATGGAGCGCTCATACCGTACGAACTCGTCTCGTGTGATCAATCACAAAGGAAAAGAGATTGTAATTGATGATGATGATGAGCCTATCAGATTAACTGAGCAAGACAATGCCTTTGTAATAAAAGAGTATAGGATGTCTCTCATTGGAAAGATCCTAAATCATAAAAAGCAAAACGTTGAGAAATTGATTCAGACAATGCCGGCTCAATGGGGAATAGAAGAGAAGATTACGGCAAACGATCTCGGCAATGGCAAGTTCCTTTTGAACTTTACCAATGAACAGGACCTCAACTTTGTTCTCTCCAAGGGTCCTTTCCATTTTAATTTCTGCATGTTTGTCTTGGTTCATTGGGAACCGGTGGTTCATGATGACTATCCTTGGATTATACCCTTCTGGGTTCGTCTTGTTGGGATGCCTCTTCACCTCTGGACCGACCGCAATCTCAGAGACATCGGAGAGAGACTTGGACATGTCGATACGATTGAGCTTACGGAGGGAAAGATGCTTATTCATGTTGATTCTAGGAAACCTCTTAAGTTTAAGAGGAAGGTGCTGAGCCCTGAAGATGAAGAAGTTACCATTACTATAGAGTATGATTTGCTCTTTAAACACTGTACCTTGTGTGGTCTTATGTCACATGAGAAAGGTTATTGCCCGACCATCTCTACAGAACCGACAACTCAGGAACGAAGTGGTGTTTTCTCGAGGGTTCAACTCCAGCCTTTGCTGGAAGGAAGTAAGGGGTACGGATATCATACGAACCGTAATAGCCATTATGGGTCACAACCTTCGACACGAAACCAATACTTGGCGAGTCGAGACAGGGCGTATGGTCACCGTCATGCGAAGGAGGGACATGAATCAAGTGCAGCTCCGCCTCGATCAGCTCGCACGTCCCGCAATCGGGATAGGAGTGGCGATAGGACCAGTGACCGTGCAATAGGGGGACGTAATGAGAGGAGTTATGCTGCTCGTCGTTTTGAGTCACGTCAAGCTTCTGGTCCTTATGACCGCAAGTCCAACAGGGAATGGCGTGAAAAGACAGTAACAAAGGATCATAGTATGGAGAGAGAGAGAGGGAGAAACCGACAAAGCACAATGTTACGGAGAAAGGGATGACTCCTCCGGCTGTACCGTCTGCTGCGCCTAGCAGTGAGCATGGTATTGTTGAGGCTAAGGAGTGTGGCAACGGTGGTGCGAGTGGATCGGGAAACCAGAGTAGGAAGGTGGCTAGTATCATTGTCTCTCCACCACTTCGGACAGCAACTATGGAAGATAATGTCACAATACGTAGTCGGAGCGCAATAAGATCTTTGTCTTTTGTGGCAGATGAAGCAGTTGAAGACGGGGAGCAAGTCATTGAGGCTTTAGCTGATATGGAGACAAATGATATGGATGATGTAACGAAAATGACTAATGAGGAGTATGATGATGCTGAGGATGATCTTCTGGGAGAAGAATTTATGGAGGCTGATGAGGAGAAGCGAGTTGGAGGCAAAGTCGGTTTGAGTAATAAGGCTGATGGCAAGATGCGCCCTGGTCGCCTAAATACATCATCAAGTAAGCCGGGTTTCCTCCGTCGGGGATCCCCCAGGTTGAGAGTTTCTAAGACATCGGCACAGAAGTCTTCTCGTCATAAGGAGAAGGCTGGGCATGCGCGGCATGTATCTAAAAAGATTCAAGGAAGTACACACACTGGAGTTGGTTCGATGGGATCCAAAAACCCATCCCCCTTTCATCCATGAGGACAATCAGTTGGAACTGTCGAGGCATTGGGAACACCCTCACAGTTCGACGCCTTACGGAGATGTGTCAGAAGCATCTCCCAGGATTTGTGTTCCTCTCTGAAACTAAGAATAGGAGGCTGCTGTTGCAAGACATTCAGGCTGACCTAGGATTTGATCGTTTGTTTACCGTTGAGCCACTTGGCCTCAGCGGGGGTTTAGCTTTATTTTTTATGGATGATTTTCAAGTTAATGTACTTTTTTCAAATAACAGAATGATTGACATTGAGGCAGTCATTGATGGAATAAAAGTCTATATGACATTTGTTTACGGGGATCCTGTACTTGATAGACGAGATGTAGTATGGGAACGTCTTACGCGTTTCTCAACAACAAGAAATGGACCTTGGTTCATGATAGGGGATTTTAACGAAATAACATGTCATGCAGAGAAGGAAGGAGGCTGACAACGCCCTGATAGTTCCTTTCTGCCATTTAAGCAGATGTTAAGTGATTGTGGTATGCTCGAATTTCCTTTCACAGGGAATATGCTATCTTGGGTTGGCAATAGAGCTGGAAGAACGACAGTTAGGTGTCGACTTGATAGAGCGGTGGGAAATGAGGATTGGCATGAGAAATTCCCTCAGTCCAAGGTCAAGTATATGAGACTCTGGGGATCGGATCATCGTCCGATTCTCGCTGATATCCTAAGAAAGAAACCTAGGAGAGCAAGAAACTTTAAATTTGACAAGAGATGGTTGGATAATGATGAGCTGAGACAAATTATTCTGGAAGGGTGGAAGTCACCGAATCTTCCGCCTGATGCAAGCATAATGGAGCATATTGTTAGTTGTAGGCGAGCTTTGAGTGAGTGGAAAAAACAGCTTAACCTGAATTCTGAGAAGACTGTAGAGGAGCTTAAGGAAAAGGTGGATCGCCTATCATCAACTGATGATGCAACTACTGAAGAGATTGGAGCGGCCATTAAGGAGTTATCCGATGCCCTTAAGGCAGAGGAACTGTTCTGGAAGCAGAAGTGTAGGGTATTTTGGTTGAGAGAAGGGGATAGGAATACAAAATTCTTCCACGCCCTTACAAAGCAGCGTAGAGCAAGGAACATGATCACTCAATTATTGGATGAAGATGGAAATGTTGTGGAGGATGAGGAAGGATTGGTAGCCATTGCTACGAATTACTTTAGACATATTTTCCAATCATCAAATCCAGAAACAATAGAAGAGGCACTCTCAGAAGTTTTGATGACAATTTCTCTGGCGGATAATGTGGCATTGACAGCTCCGGTTACTGAATGGGAGGTCAAATTGGCGCTGTTTGCAATGCACCCAGAGAAAGCCCCAGGTCCAGATGGAATGACGACGCTATTTTACCAGAAAGTTTGGGACATTGTAAAGGAGGATTTAACTCGTATGGTTAATCAATTTCTATTTGACGGCGTCGTACCACCGGGGTTAAATGATACTAATATATGCCTAATACCAAAGGTGGACAAGCCGAATCAGATGAGCCAGCTTCGTCCTATTAGCTTATGCAATTTTAGTTACAAGATCATCTCTAAGGTCTTTTGCTAGAGATTAAAAAAGTTTATTCCCGAGAGGATCTCAGAGACTCAGTCAGCTTTTGTTGCTGGTAGACAGATATCGGATAACATTATGATCGCTCAAGAGTTATTCCACGCATTAAGAACAAAACCGAGTGGGCGAAATAAGAGGATGGCTATAAAAACAGATATGAGCAAGGCATATGACCGAATGGAATGGTCCTTCATTGAGGCCACCATGAGGAAGATGGGATTTTCTGAGGTCTGGGTATCTATGATAATGAGATGTGTAACGTCAGTGAAATACAAAGTCCTCATGAATGGAAGTCCGAGAGGTAATATTACTCCGGAAAGAGGTCTAAGACAGGGGGATCCTTTGTCTCCTTTCATTTTTATTCTGTGCACGGAAGCGCTCGTTAGCCTTCTAAATCACGCAGAGAACCAAGGAAAGATAACGGGGATGCGTATCACGCGTGCGTGCCCTTCGGTATCTCATCTTCTCTTTGCTGATGATAGTCTGTTTTTCTGTAAGGCGGAGCCCCGTGAATGTGAAGAAGTAATGAAAGTGGTCAAAGTGTATGGAAAAGCGTCTGGACAATGTATTAAATTTGACAAGTCCTCTTTACTCTTTGGTAAAAGAATTGGACTGGATGTGAGACAAGAGATCAAAGACACTCTGGGGATCCAGAATGAAGGTGGAATGGGATCATATTTAGGTATACCGGAGGACATAAGTGGTTCCAAATGTAAGCTCTTTGCGTTCCTTAAGGACAAGTTGAGAAGAAGGGTGAATGGATGGACTGGTCGCTGGCTCTCGAAGGGTGGGAAAGAAGTTATGATAAAGTCTATCTTGCTTGCCCTGCCGACGTATGTAATGTCTTGCTTCCTTCTCCCATTAGAGATTTGTGAGAACCTAGCTAGTGCCATTGCACAGTTCTGGTGGAGCTCCAATCCGCCAAAAAGGGGTATGCACTGGTCGACATGGGATAAACTTTGCTTACCTAGAGAAGAAGGTGGAATCGGCTTCAAGATGATTCATGAGTTCAATCTCGCGTTACTAGCAAAACAATTATGGAGATTGGCTCAAAATCCGGACTCTCTGGTAGCTCGAGTCATGAGAGGCCGGTACTACAGATTAAGTACGCCTTTGCGTCAAATCAGTACTAGTAGCCCATCATATGTGTGGACAAGTATCTCGGATGGTAGGGAATTGTTATTACAAGGAATTAGACAAAAGATTCATTCCGGATATGAAGTTAAAGTGTGGGAGGATCCTTGGATTCCTACCATACCTGCGAGACCAGCAATCCCATTAGCTCCGGTTATGCATCTGAATATGCGAGTGAACGATTTGATTGATCAGACTGCGAAGTCCTGGGATGACAGTCGTCTTCACGACTATATCGATGCTGCTGACATACCACTAATCAAGAGTTTGGCAATTAGTTCTATGCATCGACATGATACTTTCTGCTGGAGCTATACGAGGAATGGACAATACACTGTTAAACCTGGGTACTGGGTAGCACGAAATATCTTGCGTAAGGAAGAGGATCCAGAAGTTCGTGAGCCCAGTATTACTAAACTTCAAGCACATGCTTGGAAGGTCAAGGCCCCCTAGAAGATTTGCCATCTTATGTGGCAGATTATATCAGGGCATATGGCAGTTACGAGTATCTTAAATTATAGACATATGAGATGTGACAACCATTGCCCTCGATGTGGGGAACCAGATGAGACGATCACACATGCAATTTTTGAGTGTCCACCTGCATTACAAGTTTGGGCATTATCATCTACGCCTACCAACCCTACTATGTTCTCTGTACAAAGTACGTACGCGAATATGGATTATCTGTTCTGGAGGAAAAACGCGATAATAGAACCAGAATTAGACAGGGATGCTTATCCTTGGTTAATATGGTACATTTGGAAGGCTAGGAATGACAAACTCTTTAGAGGTATTGATAGGGACCCATTGGAGGTAGCACGATCTGAGAGTGAATGTCAGGCATGGTTTAAAGCAAATGAGCAGGACTGCCTGCAATCCACTGTGAGGGGAATTAATGAGGACCAAATCTTAAGTTTGGGGAATATATGCATTGTAGATGGATCTTGGACTTCTACAAATAGCTTCAGTGGTTGTGGATGGGTGTTGGTTGATAATTCTGGAAATATTGATCTCATGGGACTGCGGAACTTTGATCGAGTGGAGTCGGCGCTGCATTCAGAGTTGGAAGCACTGCGATGGGCAATGGAGAATATGCTTCAACATTCGCCATGTCAGAGCTTTGGAACTGATTGCAAGGAGTTGGTAGAGATGCTCAAGAATCCTCATGGATGGCCTAATTTCTCAACAGAGCTGGAAAAATTGGAGACCTTGAAGATCTGTTTTCCTGAATTTAAGATTTGTTATGTCCCTAGAGCACAGAACAGTGTTTCTGATTCTCTAGCGAAGACAGCTAGGTCGTTTTATCGTAAGCTTGTGTATGTTGGTTGCTCTATTCCAGTCTGGCTTCCCAGACCACCTCAAGTGCCTTGAATAATAGATCAACCGTTTGATGTCAAAAAAAAAAAAAAAAAAAAAAAATGAACAACATGAGAATCGGAAGGACAAACACCGCAACACAGATGTGACTTCATGATTAAAAAGAAAATGACAGACAACAAAACAACCTGCATATAGAAAAGAACCTGAGAGGGATAAAGGGATATCAGTAGACACCATACCCACTCTAAAGCAACAAAATAGCTAGACTGTCCATGCCATCAAGTTCCAGTTTGGTAACGCCATTCATCATCATACCAGCAAGTTCATATGTGAGCATATACTTCACTCTCAATCAAAGCCTGCAACCAATGAGGACCACCCGTAGACACATAGGAATGAGTTCTCTGATCTCTTGTGACGCTCAGAGCTATTGTTTCTGCCACAGAATTTCTCGACACGTCTATCTGTTCCAAGCTCCATTGTCCTAAACCAGGGAGGTGAGAATGAATGTCATCCATAACTTGTTTGAGCCATTGGAAGTTCTGCGGACACTACATCGCTTCTCTGGCTAAGGAAAATGGTGACTCAATGACTACATTCCTCTTGCATAGCGAATGTAAACTTTCAACAGCCCAACACAAACTCATTAACTTTGCTTCTCTTGTTGAACTTACTTCTACAAAGGATCTTCTACTATGCAAGATAGGGGCACCCTGGTCATCTCTCAAAATCCAAGAAGCTCCACAGTTACCAGTAGCTGGATCCCAACTCATCCCAACATTGCATTTCAGGAAAACACCACCAGGAGGAACTCATCGACCCTCCAAACTCTTCTGGATAATTGATGACTCCGTAACATTTTCACT